AGGGTCGGGCGGGGCGGTTCGGGCCGGCGCGGGGCACCGTGCGGCGTCCCCGGCCGCTTTCTGAGCGCTCCCGCCTTCTGTAGGTTCATCCCTCTGGGAAGCTTTTCGTGCTTTCGGATGGAGAAGGAAAACAGGCGACTGTGGAGATGAGCGAGCCTGTAAGTCAAGGAATACTTTGCAAATACTCGAGGTTGCCTCTTGTGGGTGTCGGAGGCTTTGTCCCTTGGAGCTCCTGAGAAGGTTTCATACCTTGGGTTGTTAAATTTTCAGATGTCAGGATCTGACCAACAGTTCCACAACTTAACAGAGTAAACGGTCAAACTTCGTAAATGCATAGCTGCAATGCTGGGCACTTCAGTCTCTATGTAAGGGAGGAGAAACTGATGTGTGCAGGAAAAACATGACATGTTCATCTCACAGTTTTGCCTGATGTAAATGGAGGAACTAGATTTGCTAATCAAAATGCTTTGTAATGTTCTCCCCCTTTATTTTGCACATATGTAGTTCCTCTGTTCAACACAGGAAAATTATTAAAATTACGGGGAGGGAAGAGAATCTATTGCTGTGTTCCAGGAAACTTGCTAGAAAGTTAAGAGTTAGATATAGGAAGAACATTGTTGACTGCACTCTTAAGAATAGTTTCTTCAAAAAGAATAAAACTATGATCCAGCTATATGATTTTGGAGTAAGATAAAATTTCTAGCATTATTTTTACCTTTGCTCAACCAAAGGCTTCTTATTGTCAGTAGTTTTGTATTCTGAATGCTTACTGATGGGTACTTAAATAATTTCTGACTATACATCCCAAATCTGGAATATTGGAACTGCTCTCGGGCGGGTGTGATACCTCCTTAGCTCTTACAGAGTTCTGTAATTTACTCAGGTTTGAATGCAGTCCATTGAAATCTGGATTATTCTGCTGTGTCCTACATAAGTCTCTGTTCAGTGATTAAATGACAGTTTTGTGTACTTCGAAACTGGCATCTTCCCTCTGAGGGGTGGGGGGGTGTGTGTGTGTTGGTACTGAACTGACTGTTAGAAAATCTGAAAATCTAGGTGGCTCAAGGGGTTTGCAGGGTTTTTTGGGGGGGAGGGAGGGGCTGCAGTAGTACTGTGTTGTTTGACATTAAACAGAATCTGTTATGAACAAACTGTCCCTGTGGAGAGTTCCTCGCTGAAGTGCTATGCAGTAGAGACAGCAGCTAATTTAGTGATACTAATTTCATACCTGGTATGTTTTCTAGCTAGATGAAGAGATCTCGGGAGTTCTTGAAGTAGTGGGAAGAGTAACAAATCAAGCAACTATCATGTGTATGTCATACATCCAGTTCAGAGAAGATAAAAGTCCATTTGGTGAGTAAGAAGATACATTATGACAAATTCATTTTGTGTTCCAAATTCTTCAATAGGTAAGAAGGGGGAGCCTGATGGGTATCTTTTCTTATGGACAAGGTCTTTCTTGAAGCTGCCAGCTATGCAGTAGAATGTAGAAAAGGAGAGTGTCGTGGGAAAAATTCGGTACAAAATACAGTTTTACTGTCAAACTGTAGAGACTGACCCAAAGCTGGAGCCATGCTAGATCACTGCCTGATGATTCTTCCACTCCAGGCTGCATTGTTCTCGCCTTGCACTGGACCTTATGTGATCGGGCACCTGGCAAGCCTAACAATAACCCTCCAGAAAGCAAGCAGTGAGAGTGTGGCTGGCTTGGGAAAACTGGGGGGACTGGGAATGCTCAGCTGTACTGCTCTCAAATAAACAGTGTTTTAGCGCCATCATTTGCTTATGAGGAATTTAGCTTATGCATCATAACCATTTTCTTTGCCCTATTTCAGATCTGGAACTCTACAATGAAGCACTAAAAATTATTCATGAATTCCCTGACTACTTCCCATTTGGTACTGGGAGGAACAATTGATTTTTCTTAGCATAGATTTAGAGCTTCAGAGGGGACAACAGCACCATGACTGTGTTGCCTCACAGCATGGTAACAGTTGCATTTATTTCCAACAAATGTACCAAAAAGATGCTGTTACATGTGTCGCATATTGCCAGGGATAAATGTTTTCTTTGACCAGTATTTATTCAGCAAGAAGGAGAACACTGCTGTGGAGATCTCACTGTCTATATATATGTAACCCTTCTGCATCCATGAGGAGTGTCCTCTTGCAGAGCTGGCTGGACTTGCTAGAAACCGAAGTTCTGTAGGCATCTTTTTGTTGGTGGTTTTAGTGGTTCTAGATACTTTATATTTTAACCTTGCCACCTGTCTTCAGTACCAGTTTCCTGTAAAGTGGCTTTTTTTTTCTTTGATAAAAATTTATTGAACATGTGGGGTATTTTACATCTTGAAACAGATCTCTTCTCCAATAAAAGAGATCCCACTGTTTAACTACTTGTGTCAATATTGTATTTTAGAGGGCTATATTCAGTGATACGTGATGGCTCCTGTTTAACCTGACAGGTAATGTTAAAAAAAAAAAAATAATTCCAAGATACTTGCCTTGTACACTGATGTTAAATACTTGGAAGATGTCTGGTTAGGCTTGGGGATTTCAAGCACAAGTTGAGTTCCCATCACATCCTTCATCCTTGGTGGGAGTCTAAGCAGAAGGTACCAGGTTCAGCCAGCTTGTCATGACAACTCCAACCATACAAACTTCCACACAGTTCAAAGTTTTGCTACTATCCAGGCTGCTTTCAGCGAGTAGCAGAACTCTTGTATCTCGTAAGGTAACACAATTGAAGTAAAAAGCTTTGAAATAGTCTGTTAATTAATATTTCAAAGTATTTTAAGTAAACCTTCACTGTGTTTGTTAAGCTTTCACACAAACAGGTTTCAGGTTTAATAGCAAGATTTAATGTCTTATTAAGATCATTAGCTTTGCACTTATTTGTAGACTTCTTTGGGTTTAGTCAAGCAGTTCATGTTTGAAAGACTTCTTATTTATTAGTTGCTACTAACAGGGTCAAGTTAACAAGCAATCTATTTTCTTTCCCCTCTCTACTTGGAAGACAGACGTGAATTAAGTTACAGTCACAGGGAAGCAAAAGGAATCTGGGTGTAATCAGGCAAGGCTGGGGCATCTAATGAAATGGAAACACAAAAATGCAATCAGCATGAACCACAGGGTCAAAACATTTTAGCACGTGAGGCCACCATCATCTAGCTAACTACCTACCAAGAGGTGAGCAGATAAAAGAGCAGTAAATGTAAAAAAGTAACTGCAGCTAATGTATTGCCTGTAGTTATAATTTTTGTTAGAAGACAACAAACTACCCCAAAACCAGCTTTATTAATGTAAAAGCAAACCAAGGCATCATTAAAAAACATAAACCCCTTACTTTGTATGTTTTGCAAACAGAGTGATTACTGGCCTGAGACCTGGTTACCAATTACAACAGCCAGAATATACACACATTCATAATCCAAAACACTTCAAAGACATGCAAAGTATCAAAGTAAGCATCTAATTTAATGAAATCATAGAATTTGACACAAACAGGTATAGTCAAGTCAGAAATGTTATAAATGAATTTTCTGTACATAAGAAAATGTGACAAGGTAAGTTAGTAGTTGCGTTCACCTGAACATGAGTCTATCGGGGAAATTTACTAAACATTGTTACTACAGAGGAATAAAACCATCCTTGACACTTACAAATACTAATTTCCATAAAGCAAAAGTTTTATTGCCTGTATTTATATAAATAGGGCAACATACATTAACCCCCTGTTTACACTTATAAATGGAGAAATTTTTGAAGAGCTTTTCAAAAGCAGCATTAAGTGTGCAAAAATACTGGAAAGAGAAATAAATATCCTAGCAAGAAAAAAAAAAAGTAACTGCTCTCCCATACTTACAAAGTACCTCTTAGATTAACTTTAAAAAGATTTTTTTCAATTAGGCAAGAATTTTAAATCAGAGTTAAGTGTAGCAGATGTGTAACAACATTAATACTAAATCAGAAACTATAACCCAAAGTCCTGAATGTAATTGTGTACATCTATTGAAAACGTTGCCATATTCCATCGTGCTGCAACTACACTAGAGCATTTAGAACTAGTGGTATATTACAATATATTCTCTTTTAAAACACAAATTTTCACAGTTCTGGCAATACAGTACCAGTTTATTGCTAGCATTCCATTTAGTATTTCATCGCACACAAGTGTTAAGGAACTCATATTGTTTCTACTAGTAAATAAACACACCAAGTAAACTGATGTTATTATCACATACCTTAAAACAGGTTATTTTTTTTCCCTAATTTGTGTGAATTTTGTTGCCTACAAAATCAAGGACAACAATACCAATTAGCTCCTAGCATAGTATTACCACAGTATCATTGACTGTCTCTCAAATTAATAAATAAACTTAATCCCAGATGGTAACATGCCTAGAACTAATTCTAGTCAGTGACCTAAAATTGTGCAGCCATTTGGGAGCAGATCCGTGTCTGCTAGTGACCAGAAGCGGGATTTATATAGGTTGATTTCACACTTCCCAGCATGTTTCAGAAGCACAGGGAAATGCTGATTATCCAAAGGTCTTCAAATGTTTTTGTAGTCAAAACTCAGCATGTAATTTAAAACTTAAGTATTTACAAGTCTCCAGTCCTGGAGATACCAGACCTTCACTGTACTACATGAAAAATTAATCAATCAAATGAAACCTTCTATAGCTTACCTGCACTCTGCAAGGAACAGACACATGACTTTTCAGGGAACTCTTCTCTAGGATATAGACATCACCAGGAGACAAAGCCCCCAAGGTTCTTTAACATTAAAATTCACATCAGCTAGCTATGTAGGTAAATTAAATAAGACCTTGAATTATAAGGACATTGCTTTACTGTTAACAAAATGTAGGAACTGAAAGAAATGGATTTTTTCTTCAAAATAAAAATGATAATACAATTAACAGTGGCACTTTGGATGAACTTAGAAGGAGATGACTGTTTGCATACATGAAAGTGTGATCAAACCATGAACAGAGGAAACCACAGCATCACTTTATGATCTTCTGAAGAATGCTCTTCAGGTGTTTATTTTGAAAGCCCACTTTCACAGCGTACAAACATTGCTTTGTTTGGAAAACAAATAAAAGGGCTGATCAGCACTACCCTGAAAACTTTTAAAAGCTCTTTGGATTTTAGCAAATCCAGAGTCCACAATTCGAGTGCTTCTGAAGTGAACTGCTTCAGTTCTCTCAACAAAGACCACACACTGTACCCAGAGCCTCATTTCAGGAATACCTGTTTCTACCAAGCAGTCATACACACATCACTTCACTCATCTGATAGCAATTTATTTTTTTCACAGTTAGTAAGTCACAAATGACCTTTGTCTGTGTTTGGGCTATGATGGATGCCCATTGGAGAGCCCCACATTTTCAAACAGCATTTACGCCTGGACAGTCTCTGCCGGAATGAGATTCCCTGTTGTATCCAGCTGCATACACTTACAAGAGCAGGCAGAAACTGGGCACTCAGTGTGGTCCCTAGATAGCAGTAACAGAAAAAAGAAAACACGTAAAATAAAACTAACAAGAGTTTTGCAATCTACACATGTAAGTATGTGCAGGGACACAGCATCTCAGAAAAACTCTGCATCATACTTAAAAAGTTTTGCATATGTTCTAAACCAGCAAAATGTAGACAGAGCAAAGGAGGCATGTCCTACTTAGTGGAGCATACACGTATGAAATAAGAAAGATTTTAACACTGACTTACCTGAACCAGCTGAGCATGTGCCCTGCATGTCCACCATGCCTACAGTTGTGACACCAGGTAAACCAGTTGTTGAACTGGGCTAACTTCTTGTCTTTGCTAAGATCCACTTTTTCATCTGACTTGGATCCTCCTGTGCAGAGGCAAACCCACCCCCACAAATCCACTTGTAAATCATCATGCATCATTTATACTTCAGTCCCAGTAGCCCTATTAGACTAAATTTGAAATTAGGAACATTATGTGAAGAAGTCCCCTGATTTTAAAAGAGTAGTAATATAATTCAGAACTAGTGGAATGCCAAAACAAGAACTGCATTACTGAGCTGTTGTTTCATACCTTACAATCTAGCTAAACTTGCCCATTAAACAAATTTTAGAGACAGAATGTCTTTCAACAGTGATCTACGTTTCAATGACTGATTTACATTCCAGTGAATTATGGGCCTGTTTTACTGCACATGGAATGTTCTACTTTAGAAAAATCGACAAAAGCTAAGCTATGAATTGGAACAATTACAATATAGAAGTCATAACACAGATCAGTGAAAGAAGATGCATAAATTATATAGATGCCAACTCCACAGCTGCTCATGGCTCTATACCAAGACTGACCTAAAAACATGGACAAGATCATGTTCATCTAGACCTTGTATAATGCTGAGACCAAGATGTTTAGAACCACAGGATTCTAATCATATTTCTTAGCTGTGATATGACTCACACATTCTTTTGTACTTGGTGACAGAAAGTATACCACACTCAATTTATTCTCTCTTCCTCTTCCAGCTAAAAATCAATTAATTTACATCCCATTTCTGTAGCATGCCTACAATTCATTTCAAAACAACACACTTCCAACAGCTTACAGTTTTGGAGCTCATGATGCTGACCACCACTTACTTGAATCTTTTAATCTGCCTAACCATGAAATTTCACTGACAATCTCACTGGGAAAACTGTCAGAACCAAGTAGCTGTACATACCGTCTGACACCAAAGAACTGAGACACAGGTTTCATCATAAAACCTGATGGGATGTAAACAAAGTTTCAGTTATGGTCCTCCTCCCCCAAAAAGGCGAGTATGAACATTTGTGGTATGCATACAAATAGAAAGAAAGAGGTGCAAGAGAAGATCTTTCAACAGCAACTGCTAATTAGGCCTCTAATTAGAACGACACCTGAG